TTTCTAGGTTCTATCCCTTCTTTCTATTCTTGCATAAATAACGTGACCGCCTCACAGTATCCAATGTCTGTGTTTGATGATTTGCCTACATGAGTGACAACAAAGTTAATGGATAGTTAAAAAGAGGAAATGGGAAATTACTTTCTTGCCTCAAAATGTTAACAGCAGCATCTAGAGAATTTTCATCTTCCTCTTTACCGTGGTCTGCCTTTTCTGAATTCTTTACAAAGTATTTCTCTTCCATTTGGAATAGAAAGTACTCCTTTCAGTAGTTTTACTTTAGAAAATGATGAAGTTATAGCACAAAAAAAGGAACATGAGAAGAATAGGTATAAAAAAATGATGGACATCCTTCAGGACCAGGGACATTGAGATATTTTATTTATAAAATCACACTTAAATTTTAATAATGGAACAGTTATATATTTGAAGTTGCTTAAATATTCTCTTTAAAATTTAGAGCTTCTTCCCCATGGAGGTTTAATAGAGAGGCTAATTATTAGATGTAAAGGAATATTTTTCTGGCATTTCGGGGAAGGTGTACATGTGGAGAGGGAGGAAGAAACTCATGGTGTGTATGGGTTTTGAAATGTCTTTTTTGACATGCACAAGATGGGTTTACTCTGGAATAAATTCCAGCAGAACCTTTTCCCCATAGTTCATGATTCTAACTAAATTCGATATTTAAGAGAACTCTGTTGGTTTTGAGGTCATTTAATTAGCTATATTTGTGAGGAAAAAATACAGCAACAGCTTATTAACAAAGAACAAAAGGGTGACAAATCAAATATACATAGTACATTAAAGGTGATATGTAATCATGTTTCTGGGTCATACTCTGCTATCTACAATTAATTCAAAATTGTGGTTGGGCAAACAATTTCTGTCAAGATCTCTGGGTGATTTTTTTTTTCTTCAGTTGACAAGCTCATTTGAAAATATGTGTGGAAAGGCAAAGGATCTAGAATAAGGAAATTATCTTGAAAAAGCCAGAGAAAGTTGGAGAGTTTCTTCTCCCCCGTTTTAAAGCATATTTGAAAGCTATAGTCATCAAGAAATTTGGGGGTTCTTGTGGATAGAAATGCAGATGGGATATCCTTAAAAGAGCCCAGAAATAAATTCAGTACTGGCATTTATAGTCAGTTGATTTCCAGCAATGGTATCTCAACAGTTTAATGAGAGAGAAGTTAGTCTTGCAGTAAATGGCGCTGAAACCATGGGATATTAATATGCTAACAATGAATTTCCACCCTACCCTCATATCATACACTGCATGTAACTCAAATAATTAAAAGGTGTGAGAACTACAAGTCTTAAACATGTAGGAAAGACCATAAGAGAAAATCTTCAGGGTCTTGTGTTGAGGAAGGATTTCTTAGATATGAAAAGCACAAGCATTGAAGAAAATTGATAAAGTCGACCTTGTCAAAATTAAACTTTTGCACTTCAAAAGATGCCACTGAGAAAACCAAAGGAGAAGTCCCAGACTGAAAGAAAAGATTTGTAAGTCATATTTGTGGGGAAAGACTTGCATCTGAAAAATAGAAAGAACACTTATAATCTAATAATAAGGGACAGAGAACCCAATTTTAAAGATGGGCAAAATATTCGAGCAGACATCCCACCAAAGAAGATGGTATGTAAAAAGATGCTGGACATTGCTACGTCATGAGCAAGCTGCAGATTAAAACCACAAGGAGACCCTGTTTCACAGCCCTTAAGATGACTATCACCAAAGCGATAATAACAGGGCTTGCCTCCAGAATGTAGAAACTGGAACCCCCTATACAGGCTCATGGAAATGCACCACAATGCAGCTAATATGGAGCATAGTATGGCAGATTCTTAAAACCTTAAACATGAATTTGCCCTATAAGATAGCAATCCCATGCCTAGATATCAACCCAGAAGCCAGGGAAACATACATCCCAGCAAAAATACTGTCCCCAAGTGTTTAAAGCAGCATTATTCCTAATAGCTGCTAAGTGAAGACAGTCCAAATTCCCGTCAACTGTTGAACGGAGAAACAAAATTTGGTGTGTCCATATGGTGGAGTACTACTTATCCCTGCTATAGCATGCACGGCTTTGGAAACATCATGCTCATGGAAAGAAATCAGACACAAAAGGCGACATAGGATATGAATTCTTTTATACAAAACACCCCAAAAGGGCAAATCTAGAAAGACAAAAAGTAGATTATCGAGACTGGGCTTAGCAACATGGAACCTTCAGTTGGACATAGTCTTTTTTGGGTTGATGGAAATGATCTAAAGTTGGGTGATGCTAGTGGTTGTACAACTGCATAAAAAAGCCATCGAATGTTATGCTTTGATGAGTTGGTTTTATGGTATGTAAACCATACATCAGTAAGGCTCTTAGAAGTCACACTTTGGCTAACAGAAATTTGGTAGGAAATCAAAGAGGCAGGTTATCCTAGACTGCTACTTTATTCTTGATGGAACTACGTCATGGAAATTGTGAAAGCATCACTAATCCTCAGAACTTGGCTCTTTTTGTTGGGGACGGTTCCCTGAGCACTGCTTCTCATCCCACCCGAGATGGATTTCATATCACTCTCATTTTGCACCCTGACAGTGAGCCTGGGGGCACGGAGAGGTGGGTCTTAGGAGAATGTTCTAGCATTTCACTTCCCTGACAGCTGGGTTGCAGAATGGCCTTTGGACTAAGTCCAGGACACAGCACACAACATGGAAGAGAAAAGAGACTCCAAACAAGGATTATAAGAATGGGCTCCTGGGGAGGGTCAAGTGTAGGTATGGGGTCTTTGTTAAAGAATGCCTTCCCCATGTTGAGTGCATGTGTTCTGGACACTGTGTTACAAGAGGGAGTCAAACTTGAAAGGAACATATTTTGTTGGAAGGAATCTGCTGGATCAGCACATTATCACTCCTGTGACTTTTGTGATGACTACTTGATTTTTTTCTAGCCAATTTTTTTTTCTTTTTAAATGACCTTAGTGACCTGTTTCTGTAGAAGCTTATATAAAGTCTTCTTCCATGGATGAACAGAATTAAAAAAAATATATTGTATTTATTTATTTGACAGAGAGAGATAGCACAAGTAGGCAGAGGCAGGCAGAGGGAGAGGGAGAAGCAGGCTCTCCGCAGACTTGGGAGCCCAATGTGGGATTCGAGCTGAAGGCAGCCACTTAACCAACTGAGCCACCCAGGTCTCCAGATTTTTTTATTTTTTCCAGAAATGAGAGAACTTGTTTGTAGAACAGTTTTGTGTATCATTCATGTAGTCTACTTTAGGAAAGGCATCCCTTTTTAGGCTCACAATTTCATCATAAATTCAAGTCCATGAATTCGCTTTAACATAGGTTCTGTACTGATGAACTCTGACAAAAACAACCCCCAAGACACTCAACCTCATTTGATTTTTTAAAAATTTTTCTCTTTTAGATATTTCAATGCAGTAGGATTGTTGGGTATAAATAAATTTGATATCAAGGTAATGACTCTAAGAAATTGACATATTGAGGTCATGATACTTTCTAAGGGATTGGAAATGAATGTGTTTTAAGGAGAACAGGTGGGTTCCAGCAAAAGTGTACTTCTAGGTAGATGAGGCTGGATTACTGGTAGCTTGGAGTTCCAAGGGGTCCCAGGTACCTCTTTGTAGCTGTGTTCAATGACCTTATATTAGATGCTTGAAATTATCAATAGTGGGAATAGTTAAGCCTCAAAAATCAGCAAATCGGATGTCCCACCCACCCACCAAGGTCTGTGAGCTAAGAACTCTTGAACCATATAAAATGGACAATAAGCAAGCCATAACTGACCTACAAAAATAACAACTTCAGATCTTGGTTTTGAAACACGATGAGTTTCTTTGAGTTAAGTAGAACTTCTAGAAGAATGTCATTCAGGCACTTTTGAAGTTACTGGATCTGGGATATGCATTCCCCCAGGGCCATGTCTGTCTATAAAAAGAAGAGAATTGAACTAATTTACCGAACAATTCAAGCAATAGGAAATGTTTTAGCATGTTGTATCTTGAAAATAGGAAAACCCAAAATGGCACACTATGTACAGAATGTGTAAGAGAGTATTTTTTGGGAGTAGTTGAGGGATACCCCCACTGCCCCATATTTTGTTTCCCTGGAGATTCTTAGGGTAACTTATATTCCAGATCATCAAGGTAGGTGATTTTATTTATTTATCTTAAATTCAATGAGCATTGACACCAAAGTAATATTAAATAAGTGTTTCAAACACAGAGAACGTGATATATAATGTTTTCTCTTGTCTTAAGAAAACTTTATTGAAAATGGTAGTTGTGTTGTTGTTTTCTTTTTATACTAAATGGTAACCAGGGCTGGGTAATAGCTCTCTAACCACTGGTGAGAGGTGACTGTCATGATTTAAATTAACTAACAAACTGACATTTCTGATTTGTATTTGAAATGCTCTGTTTTAAGTTCTGCATGAAATGAATGTCAATTTTCAGTATTTTATTGAAAGTCCTTCCATGTTTATTACATAAATGTGTTTTCTCTTACGTTATGGAATGTCCTAACGAAAATGTACTGGTGACATTTCATGAATTTATGTAGATTGTCACATATTAAAATTAGAGGAACATTGAATACTTCATATGCATTTCTTTTAAGAATGTGGGAAATCCTTTTTAATAATTTAATTTTCTTTTTTTTCAAACTCACATTAGCTCTGTTTTTTTTTTTTTTTTTTGCAGTTTTATCATTTTAACCCCCAAACTGCATTTTCACAGGATAGAGAACATTTTTTGCGAGTAACATTTTGAATTTGTTCTTCTTGACATCTTTATGTTTTTATGCATTTTGCATTGCCCTATCTCATTTTTTTGAAATCCAAATGTAACAACTTTCAACTTTTTGTGTGACATATTTTTTTCTTTTACTGGGTAGTATCTCTCTCTCTTCTGATTTTTTTGCAAACCTGTTGTTTTTGAATTCTCTTTTTTCCCTTTATTTTCCTTCTCAATATGACCCAGGAGCCAACACAAAGAAAAACGCAGATGATATAACCAGTAATGACCGTGGTGAAGATGAAGGTATTTTTTGTTTTTTCAAAGCTCGACCCTGATGCATGGTTTTATATCTCTCTCTCTATTTTTTTTTTTTTTTAATTTCAGTCCCTTTTTCCTCCCCTTCTCTTAAACAAGTACACTTCTGTGTGCTTCTTTATTTTCTTCTTGTTTGGAAACCACTGTCCCTTTTAGTCCCAAGGACCCTGTACATGAATGCAAACCACCTGTGAGAAGTATAAATGTTTCTAAATATGAAGTGAGTTAAAAAAAAATGTTATTTACAAGGAAGCCCATCTTTTTCTTTTTCTTTTTCCTTTTTTTTTTTTTTTCTTTTTTGGCTTGGTCGTAAGAAGAGAAAATGAAATTTTAGAACATGCATGCATATGTTCTTTTCTTCCTTCCAAAGGTTATTTTGTAAGTTATATTGTATTTTGGACCTTTGGTCTTCTTAATTCCTTCTACGAGCTGCCAAACTCTGAGAGACACCTTTGTACAACTTTTTCGGTGTCTGACATTTGAGCTTTTGTTTGTTTCTTTTTTTTTTTCTTTCTTTTTTTTTTTTTTTAAATATATGGATTTTAAAATAGGCTTCAAAGAATCTTCTCTGGCTCACAGTGAAATACATGAAAAAGTATTTTAACGAGATGTTGTTTCTCTGAGGGCTGCTGTTTGGCAGCTCTTAAAGGGGAAGAGAAACAGGGATAGCATAGATCTGAAAACAAACAAATGAAAAGGTCAAAAACTCTAAATCTATCCCTTTTTCCTTTTTCCACCCTGGCTCGTTTGTAAGTTTTTTCACCACCCACCCCCCTCACATGTTTGGTTGCTATGGAAAGTTGCTTTGTGAAGGATCCCAAGTTACGTGACAGACTAGCCACCAGAAGTAAATTCATGTTTTTGACAATATGGAAGGTAGTGGCCTCTAAGAAAGAAGGAACACAAGGTATTTCTATGCCTTCAGCAGAATCAATGGTTTCAAAGAAACGAAAAGGCCCAAACATGTTCCTGTGCAGGCTCCGTATGATGGGTAAGAAGTATATAACTCCCATCCAAGGAGCAAAATGCACGGACCTCCATTTATTTTCTTTAGAGGACAAAGGCCCTTGAAGAACTTTCAGGTTTGGGGCTGACAGGCAACGTAAAGGAGGGAAGAAGCTGGTGAGTTCTTGCCGCCAGGCAACAACCTCCTAGCTATAGTTTGTGCTGCTATCTTTGACCTCTTTTCTAAATCAACTGCAGTCCAAGAAGTTTGGCCAATGTTGCTTTCATGCCTGCTTCTCTTCACATTGTTATTATTTTACTGCGGCTGTCATTCCTCTGTGTTCACAGGGCTGTCCATACGTCAAATGTCTGTCTGCGGGATCTTTTGTGATGGCCTTAGGGTAGCATATCCTGCACTGACTCTGCCAGTCTTCATCTCCTTTGCACACAGCCTCAGAATACCTGCAGTTTTAACAGAATTCACAAATGTATTTAAACAAAAAAAAATTTTAATTCAAAAAGTATTCTATCAGATCACATAAAAAGAAGAAAAAAAATGTATTAACTAAACCCCAAGCCTTTTCTTTGTTCTGTTGCACCAGCCAGGAAGATAATTTGCCTCTTGTTCTGTATTTCTTTTTAGTGCATTTCCATTTGATACGTAGGACCTGTTTTCCCAATGCTCGAAATGCAACTTCCGTACCATAAAATTCCCCCTAATTTTCACTGAAAGCAATCACTTGTGATTTCTTTTTCTTTCTTCCTTTCTTTCTTTCTTTCTTTCTTTCTTTCTTTCTTTCTTTCTTTCTTTTTTTTTTTACTTTGTATTAAGAGGACATCTTGTTATTGCTCCCTCAAGTTCATGAAAATCTTGTGCTATGTGTTTGGAAAGTTCAGAGATATTAGCTTAGCATTTTTTCCAAGGAAACCCCTTCAGACAGTCCTCAAATTCTCTACTTATTCCTTTTCCACAGTGGAGTAGACAACAGCATGTACTGAAAAAAGAAACGAGGGCAAATCCACTAAATCAGGATCCAGAGAGAGAGAGAGAAATAAGTCATGCAGAAGAGGATACATTTCCAGAAAGCTGTGTCTTTCAAAATTCCACATAGCACATGATGCCTACATGATGAATAAGGGACTTTTATTCTATATTTGAATTGTTTTTAAGAGAATAAGTATCTGCAGAACCATGGGGCCATGATACTCTTTCCTGTACTTGACTGTGAGCCTTCTGCATGCCCTTAGTGAGGCAGCCAATGAACTCATTTTGATATTGGGATCATAATTCATTTTATTAGCAGCCACCATCTAAATGAGAGTGGTTCATTTCCTTAAAACTCCTTTCTGATATTTCAAAAGTGTCTTGGTGAATTAGGAGAGAGGAAAAAAAAAAACCCTTGATTGATAAAAAGGTGAAAATAAATGTACATGGGTACATTTGGGTTTCTTTTGATAACATACAGGTATTTAAATATTGACACACACCTATGTGTATATATCTCTATATATACGTAGAGAGAGATTCAGAAATAAATATCATTGAGGTCAGTCTTCCAAAACTTTCAGTGTAAGCATAAGGACTGATTAAACAGGTTATGTGATCAATACCTTTTTAGAAAGTGGTTTCCACAAATGGACACATGGTCTCTGAATTTCTGTTCTCACAGACCATTGCAAAACATAGTTTTTACATCACTGCTCGGTAAAGGAACAAAGGTATGACCAAGGGTACCCACTGGTTGCACATCACAATGGGAGTTTCTAGTCTTCTTGAAAATACGTAACATTTCACAAATTCCATCTTGAGGTGGGAGTCTTGTGTCATTTTTATTACGTGGCTTTCGTGTTAAATGTGTTGAACAAATACATTTGCTTGGGCATCTTGTTTTGCTTTGTTTTCAGTGGTACTCATTTCTGTTCTGTTGATAATTTTTCGCCCTTTCTTTGGTTTTCATCATCCTCTGTCCTGTATTGAGCATTGACGTTTCACAGCTAGTCTTGTGTGCTCATTGTGAAGTTGAAAATGAATCTGTAAGCTCACCTTTGAATAAAGAGGGCAGTCATCATAAAGATCAATGATCATTTTGAAGTTGATTTCACACTTACTTTGCAGCTGAAAACATCATGCCATGTGTTTTCTCGATAAGTCAGCTTTTAGGACTTGAGCCCTGTTCAGGAAAGAAGTACTTCATCTAAGTTCTCTATATTTCAGTGTTTTAGATATACAGAGCAATGGACAGATGCACCATATGACTTCAAATGTCTGTGTCCTTCTCAAAGTACCATTTCTAGGACTAGAAAGTATCGTCCCATTGACCACTTTTCTTAGGCAGTCTTATGAAGGTGTCTATAACTCAAAAATACACACCTGGTTGATTCCAGCCAAAATAGGGAAAAGCAATCCATGTCCCTTGTCCTGAGACTCCATTAATCAGTGTGATTCTTTATTGTGTTTCCTTACTTGGCTTTTTTTCCAGACATCCATGATCAGAACAGTAAGAAGCCGGTCATGGTCTATATCCACGGCGGGTCTTACATGGAGGGCACTGGCAATATGATAGACGGGAGCGTTCTCGCAAGCTACGGCAATGTCATCGTGATAACCATTAACTACCGGCTGGGCATTCTAGGTAAGTGATTGCGTCGTGTCAAGGCCGTGACAGATGCGGTGACAGATGGGCACTGCTTTCCGTTGTGTGGGGACTGACTGGTTTGAAACATGTTACTCTGATGTGTATGAAGGTCTCTGTGCTTCCTGGACGGTGCAAGAAATGTTTGTAGCATGTCTGCCTTTTTAGCTTGGTGCTGTTGAACTCTTGAATTATATTTCAGGGAACCCCTGTCCTTCCTCAGACAATGGCAGGCTCTAAGGTCGCCAAAGTAAAATTTATTTAACGTGCTCTTCTTTCGTTGGGTTGTGAGAATACCATGGGAGGCCACACAGCTCTGTAGAGTGGACACCTTTGCTGATGGGTGATCCTTTGGTAACAGGTGGTGATGGCCATAGACATGGGCTTTCTTCTGTGGTTAAGTAGGTATGTTACTTAGCTTCTCCTATGTTGGAAAACTTGTCACCTAATTCCTTAACTGATTATCTTCTGTGTGTGTTGGGCCCCTGCTGTGGGGTCACAAGGACCATTGTATTTGCACACAATGGAGCTCAGCTCTTGGTTGAATTTTTGCCAACAGTTTATGATTTACCATAAAAGGATACTGGCTAAGTTCATGGAAATACAGCAGGGTAGGTAGCTCTCCATTTTCTGATGTTTCCTTCATTTTTCCTGGGTGGAGAGCTTAGAAAAAATACATATTTGGTAGGGGGTAATATTTTCAGATTTACATTCTTTGGCGTTTTGTCTGCTTGTTGTATGTTTTATGACTGATATTCCTAGGGGTGGGTAAAAATGTTTTCAAGACAACAATGCATAAACGTGGTGCTGGAAATTGAGTCTTTCACAGTGTGACTCTACAGAGGGAAACATGGATATCACAGTGTGACTTACAGTAAAATAAAAAAAAATAAAGGACACAGTGAAGCTTTTGAAACAAAAATTACGGATGAGAATGTTCTCTCCAAATGGGCAAAATTAGCAAGAGTATTTTGTTTTTGCCTTGCTGTTTTAATTTTATTTTAAACTTTTTTTTTTTTTCATTTACATGTGGAACATTCACCTGTTGGAGACCCCTGGAGTGGGGGTGACTGGTAGAATTGCATTTGTAATTTAGAAATGCAAATCCCCCACAAATGTTTTGCAAAGTTGGGTCTTTTGGAGCATTGAGAAAGCCTTAGAAATTCCTCTTTGGTTTTGTTTGTTTGTTTGTTTGTTTGTTTTTTACTTTCAAGGAAATAAAAAGCATTAGCATCAAGAGCCCACTCATTTTGTGATTTTATTTCTTCTTCTTTTTTCAGAGGTCTTATGAGCCAGATCTTGGTAGAATCATTTTAGTTAATCTCGTATAGCACTGATTGTGTGTGTGTGTGTGTGTGTGTGTGTGTGTGTATTTTCCAGCAGCTTCTGGCTAGCCCCTCTGGCTACTAGTGCTTGCAACAGGAAATCGTGTTTCTTGATCTTTAACAAAAGGTCCATTCTAACAAAGAGGTGGAGAGAGGAAACAACAGCGTTGGAGCCATGAGCAGAGCCTTTTCAAAGAGGGCAGTGTGTGGGGCCCCCGTGTAACATCATCGCACCAAGGAGGAGCGCCGGGGTCTGTTTTCTGAATGAAGCAACGGACGTTGCACAAGTTCCTGCTACTTGCATTAGCAAAATGTTCTCTTGCATGCGTGATGTGTTGATGTTCCCTTAAAAGGTTAGATTTCAAGGGAAATTGATTTTCCCCATGTCAAGCCAAGCTGTAGTATGCATCTTGACATGAAGATCTCTGATGACTTGGGCCAGTTTGTAAAATAATGTGCAGATCTGGAAAATGCTATGAGGGTGAGTCACGCAAACACACACACACACACACACACACACATATAAATATATGTACATGTATACATATATATAATTTAAGAAAATGCTGTAGGGATTGTGCATATGAATTATATATATGATTTAAGAAAAGAAGTTTGCTTTTAGAATCTTTCCCATTGAAAAATTTGAAGTTTTTTTGAATTTGAAATCTTTTGGCATTTTTTTCAAATTTGAAATCTTTCGAAGTTTGAATCTTTCCCATTGACAAATTTGGCAACGGAGGGTTAAAAAAAAAGGAGGAAAGAAATCACGGTACATAACAGAGCTGTAATGGGTGACTGAGAAATCAAAGAATCAATTTAGAATTTCTATGCCAGTCTATTTACATTCCACGAATGAGCTACTGTGGAGGCCCTAAGAACACCACAGACCCCCTTTTATTTGCTGGGGTGAAATGTGCCAACTTTGCTGATTATACACGGGCCGTAGAGATTCTTAAATGTGACTTAGTTGATCTCCATCACGGATCTTGGTAGAGCTCCGATCGTCTTGAAAACTGTCCCCGCCACACACGTTAGCGTTAAGGAAGTCCCTATTTTCAGTCTTGAGAATTATTTTTAAACTACAGGGATCCAGATATTTAAAACGATGATCAAATAAGACGGCTCAACCCGTGTGGCGACGAACGTCCTAATTAGTGCTTTTGAGACGAGTCGATATGTTTTGAGCAGAATGTTGAAATATTGAGTTTCTTCTTCAAAACGTCGTTAGCGCATAAATGCTCTTTTCCTGTCGAAGAAATGGAAAGATGCTGTTGGATATCATTATTTTTATGGTGTAATTAATGCTGTTTTCCCACCCAAAAGAGAGGGTTAAAACAAGAGGAGTTATGGGGTACAAGCAGGAGGCTGGTGCATGGAGTGAACATAGATTTCAGAATGAGGCAGAAGTGAACTAACATCTTCCCCATGTTGGAAGTCTGAGCTGTGATCTTCAGAAAGGCAGCAAATTTCATCAGAATCTCTGTAGAACGTTGTGGTGTTCTCTGCCTTGCAAGGCGATTGTGGGAAGTTTCACAGCCTACAACCAGCATCCAGGACACTGCATCCCTTCGTAATTTCCATTCTTATTAACATTACTGGACAGCATATGAATATCATTGTTCATCCCCAGAAGCAGAAGCAACTGGCCAGATTTGTAATCGCTAATAACTGCAAAATACCGTCCTCGAAACTGAGCCTTAATCAAAAAAAATATACTAATTATTATTATAAGACCCTTGTCCTAGAAGTGGGAGGCTCTTCACACTTGCTTTTTGAAATAGGAATGTTTTCTTTAATCAGAACTGTGTGACACAATCCTGCTGGTCATCAACCCTATAACTGACCGGCTAGTCTGGGATGAGAGCTGTTAACGTGCTGTTAATAAACCGGGATTGTCCCAGGCTAGCTGCGATGTACCCTCACAGCTATAAAATAATTAATTATGCCTACACCAAGGCTAGGGATCGAACTGATGTTCCATTTATTTATTTATTTATCAAAGAAGTTGATCTTTTGTAAACATATTTCCTCTTTGTTCTGGTGTACACCTTGGTCATTGGGAAGGCATATGTATCCAACTCTTGAGTTCTATCCAATCGACCTCTTATTTATTTATTTTTTTCTTTCATGACAAGTGTCCAAAGATCTTCCGTAGAAAAGAGAAATCTCCTCTCTCATGCTTTTGGATAGAAATATCTGGAATTTATCTATGGATGCCTCTTGCTTCCCTCATTAATTGTCTTCTTCCCTCATTAATCCCCTTTCCCTCTTTAATTGTCTTCCATTTGCCTTTACATCTTGAGTTGGTTAATTCTCCCTCCATTCAAATATCTGTTTCCATGTACCGCCCATGGACTTACTACCTTGTTGGTTACCCTGCCGTGTCATGCCTCTTGCATGCTTTCAATTATTTTTGCTTCAAAACGTTCCCACCACTCTGCATAAGCAGCAAACTCAGGGAGAGCCTGCGGTGTGGCCGGCCATGGGTGGCTGGAGCTGTTCACTTACTGCTTGCAAACCTCCTTGCAGGGGTTCGCTTACTGTAGTTACAAAGAAACAAAAGCCAGGAGGTGATAGGGACGCCTCCCAGTGGGTTACCATTCGCTCATTCATTATCAGGGTGCTCCAGTGACTGCAATAGGAAATGTTGCCCGTGGATTTATATAACTGACTTTTTTCCAGGATTCAGAAAGAAAGTACCAGAGACACATGCTTGTTTCTTCAGGTGCCAGTAGCTATTCTGAAATTTCTGTCTCAGGGCAGGTTGTGTAGGGGTCTGCCGACGTTGTCTTTAGGGCCAGTAATTGCATACGTTCGCTTAGGTGCAGTGACGCCATGACTTTGACTAGAACACAGAGATGGTTGGAAATAAAGTTGGTCTATTGGCAGAGGAAAAAGGACACAGGGATTAAAATTCATATGGCGATGGGAGCCATATACATGTCGCAATGGTGTGTTCCCCTTTGCAGTTCTGGTCTGCTTGGCGGGGTCTTGGTTTCCATCTGACATCGAGGGTGGGTGGTGGCATTTGGAGATGGCTCTTTGACGTCGGTTGGAGAAGTCTGGCTCTAATGCACTTGGTATGTTGATGTTCCATGACAGATTCCATAAAAGGAGTCTGGGAATCATTGGGATACAGCACTCACCAGTTCCTGTAAACAGCTACGATGTGCATTGCATATTGTGTGCTTCACGCATGAACATTTCGCCTCCACAACAGCTTGGTGTGGGTCCCTGTAATAACTTTATGCACACAGACCGTCAGGGTGCTCTGCAGAGCATCTGTCCATCCCTCTTTCTTTGGGAGTTAAAGATGTTGCTGGCTATTTGCCAATGGCCGTGCTTTATTGTTTCCTTAGACTCTTTGTTGTCTTTTCATTGTTTCTATGTCTTATTAAGGATTTTGTTTTAAATTGCAAAGGGAACCCATCTTATTGATCAAGACAAGAGTTTCATGTATGTGCATAGATACAAGGAAAAACACAATTTCCTCCTTCAAGGATCTGCCCGTCTTGACACTACCCTTCTAACTCCCATTATGTTTCCATGCAGGTTTGCCCTAATGTGATTTCCCATGGGAAGAGTGCCCTTGTTTTATTTACTTTTTTATTTTAAAGATTATTTTATTTTGCACTTGTTTGTTTTTTATTTTAAAGATTTTATTTATATGTT